CAAATACTCTGTGGTCAGCTTCCAGCACAAGCTGAACATAGATTTACCTTGGAGGACCTAGATCAGGCATGGGCAAACTTGAGCCCTCCAGGTGTTTTGGACTTCAACTCCCACAATTCCTAACAGCTGGTAGTCTGTTAGGAATTTTGGGAGTTGGAGTCCAAAGCACCTGGAGGGCTGAAGTTTGCCCTTGCCTGCTCTAGACTATTTCACTCTCAAACAGCTCAAATAGCTCTTCCCATCATGAAGTTCTTACAGATCTCTTTTCCTGAAGTCTGAATCCATTGCTTCATATAGTAGTCTCCGGAACAGCAGAAAACAATCTTGCCTCTTCCTCAATGTGGCATCTTTTCAAGTATTTAACCATGGCTCTTGTGTCACCTCTCAACCTTTTTTTCTCTAAGCCAAAAATACCCAGTTCCCTAAGCTGCCTTTCAGAGATATTTGTGGTTTCCTGTCCCTTGACTGGTAATGGTGGTTACCTATCCTTGGGCTAATGCAATCTTGTCTGTATCGTTCTTGGTGCCCAGGTGATGCCCAAACAAAGCAGTAATCCAAATGTGTTTGAACTGCAGCACACACCATTAGTCCTCTATGCTGGCTGGGATTGCAGTTGATAGGTAGGCTGTTAGAAATTGTGGGAGTTGAAGTCCAAAACACTTGGAGGATCTAAATTTGCCTATGAGGTTCCTAGAGATAATAAATTAATCAGATCCAAGAATGAAAATGCACAAAAGTTAAACCTGCAAATGTTGGAGTCAGATCTCACAAGACAGCCATGTATAAATATGTGAGAGGAACTCATAGGGAGGAGGGAGTGAACTTGTTTGCTGCTGCCCTGGAGACTAGCACACAGAACAATGGCTTCAAACTACAAGAAAGGAGATTCTGCCTGAACATTAGGAAGAACTTCCTGACTGTGAGAGCTGTTCAACAGTGGAACTCTCTGCTCCGGAATGTGATAGAGGCTCCTTCTTTGGAGGCTTTGAAACAGAGGCTGGATGGTCATCTGTCAGGGGTGCTTTGAATACAATTTTCCTGCTTCTTGGCAGAATGGGGTTGGACTGGATGGCCCATGAGGTCTCTTCCAACTCTAGGATTCTATGATTCTATGAAAAGGAACTCCACCTAAACATTGGTTGAGAACATCTTGGGTGTCAGAGCTGGGAATGGAATAGACTGCTTCTTTGGAGGCCTTTAAACCTAAGGTTGGATCACTGTCTCTCAGAAGGACTTTACTTGTATGTTGGGCACAGAACTGAACTAAACATAGCTTGGTGAAGAGAACAGTGCAAGGTGACAATGATTGCTCACCATTCGCTCACCAAACAAACCCCTAAAGCTCCTGAGACTTGTGCAACCTCACATCGGGAGATACAGGCGTTTGGGATGTGTGGACCTAAGCCCTTTGTGGTGTTCCCAGAAAAGGAGCAATAGCTGGTGATGCTGTTACTACAAGACAGCTTAATGGTTTCTGTAGCCAGTCTAGCACTGGCATTTTGGGTGTGCTAAACTCTTCAGCTGGAGAGACTTTAATCTCTCTCCTCTCAGGGATCTCAAGGGAGCCACTGCCAGTTGGAGCAAACATTATAGGCCTAAAAGGGGGAAATTATCCGAGGAGGCATAAAGCAGCTTCTGATGCTTCTGATGCATGACAGGAGATGTTTTCTGCCCTCTGTTGCCTTGGCTGCCCCTCATTTGTCTGTACAAACTGCCAAGTGACCCTGGGAGCATTTGGAGAGGCTGCCGGAGAGGGTGGGGAATACATAAAAGCCAAATGACTCTTAGAAGCATCGTCTGGAATGTGCTGTGACGCCTTGTGGTTTGGAGCACATCCTTGCAAGGCCTTGAGATGCGTTGCTCTGAAAGGACACCGTCTTGGGCTTTCCTGGCACCAGCACAATAAAATATTGATGCACTCTTGTTCTCTTAACAGCATGGAAAAACATATTTGTAAGGTCACCAAATTAGAGGCAATCAGACATAGGGGCAGATTGATGCCTTGCGTTCATTGCAAAAGGAAATGGAAAGGTGATAGAAACAAAAATGCGAATAAGTAACAGGTTGGGCTGTTCTGCAGTGGGTCATCATACTTTTCTCCTCCAAGTTGTTTCTGAGCTGAATTCTGCTGAAGCAACGATATCACCAGCTCTGCCATTTTTAGCACAAGTGCAAACTGTCTTATTCAATTATGCAAAGTCCTTTTGTGGGTCAAGTTTACATTTGTTCCTTCAAAAAGAGAAAGTAAGAAGAAGCACAGGTACTATTTAAAGTACGGTGCCATACTTGATTGAGTTCTTGTTGAGATGTGGACCTGCAAGCAACAAGCAACTGGGTTAGAGACAGGAAGCTTGATGGTGTCATTGCACATGTGATTGCATAAGAGAAGAGGGATGGATGTTGTGCTCCACAATATCTAGGTCAACTCTGAAAAATGTCTTATGCGTATGCCTTCAAGTCATATTTTGACTTATGGTGGATCCATGAATTTTGTAGGGTTTCCTTGGGTAGTGAACTCTCAGCAGTTCTTTTTGCCAGTTCTTTTCTTTGGAACAGCATCTTCTTTTGCTTCTGCAACATTGTTCTTTGGAACATGAGTTGATGCCTTCTCAAGCCCTATGAGGAGCAGCTTAAGGAGCTGGGCATGTTTAGCCAAGAAGAGAAGGATGAGAGTAGATAAGATAGCTATGTATAAATATGTGAGAGGAAGCCCCAGGGAGGAGGGAGCAAGCTTGTTTTCTGCTTCCCTGGAGACTAGGACGTGGAATAATGGCTTCAAACTAGAAGAGAGGAGATTCCATCTGAACATGAGGAAGAACTTCCTGACTGTGAGAGCCGTTCAGCAGTGGAACTCTCTGCCCCGGAGTGTGGTGGAGGCTCCTTCTTTGGAAGCTTTTAAACAGGGGCTGGATGGCCATCTGTCAGGGGTGATTTGAATGCAACATTCCTGCTTCTTGGCAGAATGGGGTTGGACTGGATGGCCCATGAGGTCTCTTCCTACTCTTTGATTATATGATTCTATGATTCTTTACCTTTAGATTTTCTATCTGCTTCAGAAAGAGGTCATGAAAATGTTGCTCACATAAGCTGGACTATTATCGGACATATACCCCAAGGTTCAAAGCACTTTTGAACCTTGAAGTTTGTCTGTACAAACTGCCAAGTGACCCTGGGAGCATTTGGAGAGGCTGCCGGAGAGGGTGGGGAATACATAAAAGCCAAATGACTCTTAGAACATAGAAGATGAGGAAATATCTGACTGTTCTCATACATGTCTTGAAGTGTTCAAGGGAAGAAAAGACTGCGAATGAAGTCTGGCAAAGACTTATGTGGAAACATGGACTACCGGCGTGAATCAAAATGGCCACCAAGAGAAGATCACAGGATGATCTGTTCTCGCTGAACCAACATGCTTCTTCTTGAATAAGAAGGCATGGGCCAATGTGAAATGAGCCAAGGATCAAGCCCACTGGCACTAAACTAATTTCTAAAACGTTATATGTTTCTGGGTGATCAGTATATCCACAGCAAGAGTTATCTGTCTTGTTTTCTTTGATTTTATTGCTGTATTATGTTGTCCAGGCTTGGCTCCATGTAAGCAGCACCGAGTCCCCATTGGGGAGATGGTAGCGGGGTAGGAGATGGTAGCGGGGTAGAAATAAAGTTTATTATTATTATTATTTATTGTTGGAAAGGTAATTGGAAATTGCTTAAGTAGGCTATTGTGAAATATATTCTCTCGTTTCCTGGAGCACATGTTCCAAAGTGGTAGTATGCATGGTATATCACCATAATAACAATTGCATGCATTTACACGAATTCACCTCTGGTGTGCTTCTTTCTTAGTGAGAGACTAAATGATGGCGTGATTCTTGCAAGTGTGGGTCCTGGACCCTGACATGAGCATAATATGGCACTTTTATTGCTGAGAAGATATTTGATTTCTGCAATATGCATTTTCTGTTTCCCCCTAGTTCTTTTCCAGTGATTTGTTTTACTTTCAGGTGGACTTTGCAAAAACAAAACAAAAAAATCAAAAATTGCTCCAGTTGTTGCTTAGGAGCTGTTACCTTTTGGACCAAAGTTCCTACAGTTCACCAGCCAAGATGACCATTGGGCTTGGCAAACCAAACATAATGCTGAACAAATATTATCATGTTGTACACAGGATAATCAGGTTACCATGAAACCTGGTAACAACTGTTGTCCATGTTGATCAGGAGTTTCTGGGAATGGAAGTCAATTCCAGCTTGTGGTTTTAATGGGTGCATCTACACTATAGAACAGGCATGGGCAAACGTCAGCCCTCCAGTGTTTTGGACTTCAACTCCCACAATTGGCTGGATGGCCATCTGTCAGGAGTGATTTGAATGCAATATTCCTGCTTCTTGGCAGGGGTTGGACTGGATGCCCCATGAGGTCTCTTCCAACTCTTGGATTCTATGATTCTATGAATTCCTAACAGCCAGTAAGCTGGCTGGGATTTCTGGGAGTTGAAGTCCAAAACACCTGGAGAGCTGAAGTTTACCAATGCCTGCTATAGAAGAACACCACTTCAACTGTCATGGCTCAATGCAATGGAATCATGGGAGTTGTAGTTTTGCAAGGCCTTTACCCTTCTCTACCAAACAGTGCTGGTGCCACCACATTACAAATCTTATGGATCCATAGCATGGCGTCATTGTAGTTAAACTGGTTTCAAACTGTGTTCATTCTACAATATAGATGCAGTCCAAGTAAGTGGAGTTGTGAATCCACACCGAGTTTTCTAAAAAGAGCTCTCCAAGGTGTTGAACAGGTTCAGGACCTTGGAGAGCTCCTTTGTAAAACCCAAAGTTGATTGTGTGCATCGCTGATGCGGAAGCCACTAGCTGTCATTGGTTGCAGTCCAAAAATATATCCTGTCCCCCAAATTTTGTATGAACGACGACCCTGCCATCCATGTTTTCCGTCTGCCAGGAGGTTTACCCACCAAACTGATGCAACCTCTTTTTCCTCAGGTGCCTCCCAATCCTCTGTCGTCCGATGCAAGCCAGGCGCCAACTGCCCCGGGGCACAGCGTGGCATCCGGAGGCAGCTTTCCCCTTTCTCCGCTGCTGAAGATTCTGCTGCTCCCATTCTAGAGCTGCAGAGTCGGAGTCCCTCTGGATTTTGTCGGCACGGCAGAGGAGAGAGGCAGAACAGATCAGGTAGGCATGCCATAGAGGCTTCCCAGGCCAAAGGCTTTCCAGCTTGCTTTCAAATGCAGCACAGGACCCCCTTGAAAGTGAAAAACTGTAAATAAAGAAACATCCTGTAAACACTTCTGGAGGGATTTCTAGATCTTTCAGCATGATTTTCTAAGCAGCTAATGCTGAAGGCTGGACCTAGAGATTCCTAGAGAGAGCATTTTGAATCACATCCATGAATAATCAAATCTGCAAATGTGGAGGGATGGTTTCCTGTGTTGTGATAGCCATTTTGTGTTGGGATAGCCATTTTATGATTTGACCTTTCCTCTGTGTTGGAGGTGGAGTTTTCATGGGCAGCAAGGATGAATGTGTAAATTTTTTTAATTTTTTTTTTTTGGTCGTGTCAGGAGCGACTTGACAAACTGCAAGTCACTTCTGGTGTGAGAGAATTGGCCATCTGCAAGGACGTTGCCCAGGGGACGCCCGGATGATTTGATGTTTTTATCACCCTTATGGGAGGCTCCTCTCATGTCCCCGCATGGGGAGCTGGAGCTGATAGAGGGAGCTCATCCGCCTTTCCCCAGAATCGAACCTGCGACCTGTCGGTCTTCAGTCCTGCTAACCCACTGCACCACCGGGGGCTCCAATGGGTAAAATAACTGGGTTGTTGTCTTGCATAAGTGTTTATGGTGAGGGAATTGTATTCAGGAGGTCAGCATGGCTCCAAAGATCTTCTATGGATGACCCCGTCCTTCCACTGTTAGTCACTTATTAGAAGCACTGGATGGGGATGTTTCTGTAATTGGTTAAGCGAATGAACCCAGAGGGTGATTCTCCCCAATGCTTCCTCTTCATCCTGGAACGAAGTGACGAGCAAAGTGTCATCAGCAGGGTTCCCTCCTGGGCCCAGTCCTGCTCAGGATCTTCAATAATGACTTAGGTGAAGGCTTAGAAGGCATGACCATCAAGTTTGCAGGTGACACCAAATTGAAAGGGAGAGCCAGTACTTCAGAAGACAGGAACAGAATGCAAAACGATCTTAACAGATTAGAGAGGTGATTGGCCAATACTAACAAATTGAAGTTCAACAGTGACAAATGCAAAATACTCCACTTAGGCAGAAAAAGTGAAATGCAAAGATACAGAATGGGGGATGATGCCTGGCTCGAGAGCAGTACGTGCGAAAAAGATCTCGGAGTCCTCGTGGACAACAAGTTAAACATGAGCCAACAATGTGATGTGGCGGCAAAAAAGGTCAACAGGATTTTGGCCTGCATCAATAGGAGTCTAGTGTCTAGATCCAGGGAAGTCATGTTACCCCTCTATTCTGCCTTGGTTAGACCACACCTGGAATACTGTGTCCAATTCTGGGCACCACAATTGAAAAGAGGTGTTGACAAGCTGGAATGTGTCCAGAGGAGGGCGACTAAAATGATCAAGGGTCTGGAGAACAAGCCCTATGAAGAGTGGCTTAAACTGGGCATGTTTAGTCTGAAGAAGAGAAAACTGAGAGGAGACATGATGAGGGCCATGTATAAATATGTGAGAGGAAGCCACAGGGAGGAGGGAGCAAGCTTGTTTTCTGCTTCCCTGGAGACTAGGACGTGAAACAATGGCTTCAAACTACAAGAAAGGAGATTTCATCTGAACATGAGGAAGAACTTCCTGACTGTGAGTGCCATTCAGCAGTGGAACTCTCTGCCCCGGAGTGTGGCAGAGGCTCCTTCCTTGGAGGCTTTTAAACAGAGGTTGGATGGCCATCTGTCAGGGTGCTTTGAACGCGATTTTCCTGCTTCTTGGCAGCGGGGTTTGGACTGGATGGCCCATGAGGTCTCTTCCAACTCTATGATTCTATGATTCTAAGAATACATCTTTGAGTCGGGGTTTTTTCACCCATGGAAATACTTCTGTAGGAATTTCTAGATCTTCCAGCATGATTTTCTGAGCAGCTTATGCTGAAAGCTGCTCACCAAACCACACTGGAGGACCTAGAGATTCCTAGAGAGAGAATTTTGAATCACATCCATGAATAATCAAATCCAACTATGTGGAGGGATGACAGTAATGATTTCTTGTGTTGTGGTAGCCATTTTGTGATTTGTCCTTTCCTCTGTTGTGGAGGTTTTGAGTAAAACAGTTGGGTTGTTGTCTTGCATAGATTTTCATGGTGAGCTCATTGTATTCAGGAGATCAACAGGACTCCAAAGACCTTCTATGGATGACCCAGTCCTTCCACTGTTAGTCACTTATTAGAAGACATCTTTGAGTCAGGTTGGATCTTGGGAAGCTCCTCAAATCAGCTTGGCTCAGTCGTGCCAAAAGCACAAATCCTTTTCATCTCATTCAAACTATGAAACAAAGTGGAAGAACAGAGAACACAGGTAGAAGAAGCTAAAGGAACACATGTCTTTGATATTCAGAAAAGGTCAAATCCGGCTCACCGGGATCACATTAAAGAAGGTGTAAAGGTGTTTCTTCAAATGTGGCTTCCACCCTCTTTTCCCTGTGAAAGTGATAAGTGGTGCCAAACTTGAAGAAATTGGATTCCTTCCCTTCCCTCTGTTTTCTGTAGACTTCAAGGGAGATCATCTCTAAATTGTGGATGGGAGGAGAGCAGGCCAAATGGAAACAATGAACAACGTCATTGTAGTGTAGATTAAGATTCATTTATCCCCAGGAAAAATCCATGAAATTTGCAATTAGATAACCAAATGCCCCTCAGATCAGCACAGGAAGATCCCTGTATCATGAAACCATGGTTCTTCCAGTGTAAGTTTGACCATATATAGAATCAATCATAGAATCAAAGAGTTGGAAGAGACCATCCAGTCCAACCCCTTGCTAAGAAGCAGGAATATTGCATTCAAATCACCCCTGACAGATGGCCATCCAGCCTCTGTTTAAAAGCTTCCAAAGAAGGAGCCTCCACCACACTCCGGGGCAGAGAGTTCCACTGCTGAACGGCTCTCACAGTCTCTCTAGAGCAGCGTTTCTCAACCTGGGGGTCGGGACCCCATGGGGGGTTGTGTGGGGGTGTCAGAGGGGTCTCCAAAGACCATCAGAAAACACAGTATTTTCTGTTGGTCATGGGGATTCTGTGTGGGAAGTTTGGTCCAATTGGTGGGGTTCAGAATGCTCTTTGATTGTAGGCGAACTATAAATCCCAGCAACTATAACTCCCAAACATCTATTGTTCCCAAATTCCACCAGTGTTCACATTTGGGCAAATTGAGTATCCGTGCCAAGTTTGGTCCAGATCCATTATTGTTTGAGTCCACAGTGCTCTCTGGATGTAGGTGAACTACATCTCCAAAACTCAAGGTCAATGCCCATGAAACCTTTCCAGTATTTTCCGTTGGTCGTGGGAATCCTGTGTGTCAAGATTGGTTCAATTCCATCGTTGGTAGAGTTCAGAATGCTCTTTGATTGAAGGTGAACTATAAATCCCAGCAACTACAACTCCCAAATGACAAAATCAATCCCCCCCTCGAATCCCTACCAGTATTCAAATTTGGGCGTATTGGGTATTTGTGCCAAATTTGGTCCAGTGAATGAAGACACATCCTGCATATCAGATATTTACATGATGATTCATAACGGTAGCAAAATGACAGTTATGAAGTAGCAACGAAAATAATGTCAGGGCTGGGGGTCACCACAACATGGGGAAATGGATTAAGGGGTCGTGGCATGAGGAAGGTTGAGAACCACTGCTCTAGAGCAATCTTTCTCAACCTTCCTAATGCCGCGACCCCTTAATACAGTTCCTCATGTTGTGGGGACCCCCAACTATAAAATTATTTTCGTTACTACTTCATAACTGTCATTTTGCTAATGTAGTAAGTTTGGAAATAAAGATAAAACGTTTTAAATATAACCACAAACCTTTATTTTGGTTAAGAAAATACTGGGTATATTGAAGAATTTGTTTTATTTTTGTACTTAATATAGTTTTGAAATTGGGCTTTATGTCCAACATCTGAATGCATTAATTCTGAGGCAGCATCCAAATTACCCCTATATTTGCTTTTAGTGTAAGTATAAGCTAAAAGGCCTGATTCACATTGATAGGAGCAGCTTAAAGATCTGGTCATGTTTAGCCTGCAGAAGAGAAGGCTGAGGGGAGACCTGATGCCTATGTTTCAATATGTGATGGGTGGTCATAGGAAGGAAGGAGCAAGCTTGTTTTCTGATGCCCTGGAGACTATGACACAATGGAACAATGGCTTCAAACTACAGGAAAGGAGATTCCACCTGAACACCTGAAGAGCTGTTCACCAGTAGAAGTCTCTGCCCCATGGTGTGTGGAGGCAGAGGCGGCCCTAGTTAATTTTCAATGGTAAGCAAACAATATTTTGGCACACACCCCCCACCCCCACCAATCATTGATATATATTTTCCGTTCATCGTGGGAGTTCTGTGTGCCATATTTGGTTCAATTTCATCATTGGTGGAGTTCAGAACGCTCTTTGATTGCGCCCCTGGCAAAAAAAATTGTTCTGCGACCGCTTACTTTGCATAATGGACAAGCCGCCCCTGGGTGGAGGTGCCTCCTTTGGAGGCTTTGCAACAGAGGCTGGACGGCCATCTGTCAAGAGTGCTTTGAATACGATTTTCCTGCTTCTTGGCAGAATGGGGTTGGACTGGATGGTCCATGAGGTCTCTTCCAGCTCTAGGATTCTATGATTCTAGGTGAACATGAAGGGGAGCATTGCTCTGATAGCCTTTCCGTCTACTGACATCCATACGTCTATCAGTCCTACTCAAAAGTCACAGAATCAAATATTGTTTTTAAAGCAGAGGCATATAGGGACCACCAAACGCAGAAATGCCCAAACACGAATCAAGGAACATGAAAGGCACTGCAGACTACTTCAACCAGAGAAGTCAGCCATAGCAGAGCACCTGATGAACCAACCTGGACACAGCATATTATTATTGGAGAAGACAGAAATGCTGGACCACTCTCACAACCACCATGTCAGACTACACAGAGAAGCCATTGAAATCCACAAGCA